ATATATATATAGTACACTTCAGGTTAGCTTCTCTCTTGGAAATTTTTTAAAATAGGTCTCATAAATTTAAAGTTTATTCTGTCTCAAGAACATTTTGACATCTTTCGTTGCATTTTCCGTTGTGAGTGTGTCGGTACCAGCATCTGTCATTATTAAGCTTTACAACACCTGCACTTCAGTCAGTATGAATAACCCATTTTAAACTGTGGTGTTTGTGTGAGTTCCGGTGTTTGTAGTAAAATAGGCCTTCTATTGAGTACTGGGTTCACGTCTACTAGCACTACTATATATCTAATACTGCTACTCCTGGTGCAGTGTTGTAGGATAAGGACTGAACTGCTAACAACAAGGTTGGCAGTTCTAACCTACAAGTCACTCCTTGGAAATCCTATACTGGGTCGCTATGAGTTGGAACCAACTCAATGGCGCTTAACAACAACAGCTAACACTACTGTATATCCATGAAGTCTTGGTGTGGTGCTGTAGGATAAGCACAGGATTTCTGACCACAAGGCGAGCAGTTCAAACCCACCAGGCACTCCTTGGAATCTGTATACAGGGTTGCTATAAGTCAGAACTGACTCGAAGGCATTTAACAAATTCACCGGACCACAAGGTTGGTTTGAACCAAAAGGCTGACAGTTCAAACCGACCAGGCACTCCTAGGAAACCCTAGACAGGGTTGCTATGAATTGGAACTGACTCAATGGCACTTAACAACAAAAATAAACACTATTGTATATCCCGTAAAACTGAAAAAAAAAAAAAAACAAAAAAACACCTCAATGGCAACTCATTGTCAGTTAATCAAATCTGACTCATAGCAACCCTGTATAGGGTTTTTGAGACAATAAATCTTTGCAGGAGCAGACAGGTTCATGTTCCTTCTGAGTAGTGGATGTTGGTTTTGAACTACCGACCTTGTGGTTAGCATTCCAATGGTTACCCTAAAGCTCTAGCAAAAGAGATGAGAATCTGAATTTTCATGTGCAACCTCAACTTCACCCCCTTCCTTTACATTCACTAATTCTCCTAAAATTTTCCTCTTTTTTAGCCCAAGTCCTAAGGACTCATGACACACTACAATAACTGGTATTCTACCTTTAATGCTTCCAATGGTCCCCAATCTATTCTCCATCCTACTCACACTTGCAGAAGTCATAGTTCTAAAACACAACCCAAATTTGTCGATAAAGGTGAAGCTCTCTAACATAAATTTCAAGATCCTTCATGAACTGACCATTCTTACAATGCTTGTCCTTGAAACTTGATCTCCTGCTGCTTCCTTCTGCTTTTATTATACCAAACATCATCGCCATCATCTTGTCCATATTCTCATACACACAATCTTTGTTCGGCATATGTTGTTTTCTTGCTTCCACTGTCACCTGTTAATGCCTATTTTACCTTAAAAATGCAGGTCCATCATCATTTCATTTAAGATGCAATCTAAAGAGTAGCCTCCTTTTAAATAATTAGTTCATTGATATTTAACTATTAAAACTTAATTATATTTTGAATCAATCTATATACGAGGGTAAGTCAAAAAGTATTGCTACTTGGGTTCCAATTTATCCATGCACAAGTATATTCCAAACAAAATGTATTTAAAAGTGTCTGCAATCAGAGGATTCAAGTTCTCAGCAATGCACTTGTCTTAGTCTCATTAGGGTGACTTCAAACAAAAAAGATCCAATAAAAACAGTGGCTTCTGAGGGGATCTGCTAGAACAGTTAAATTTAAGACAGAGATCAGCTGAGAAGACTATGTAGACTGCTTTGGAATTCATATTGACAGGTTTTCTCAAATGGCAGAGGATGATTATGGGGGCTTAATTTTTTAAGAAAATTTAAAATAGTATTGCCAAGAAAAAGTACAGGAAAGTTACATCATGGATTTTTATTTATTTATTTATTTTCCCCATCACAACAATATACCTGTTAATTCTTTGGGTGTATGAAGGGGCTGTGCTACAAGAATTTCATTGAGAAATCTTACTCCAGCCACCCTACAGCCCTAATCCTGCCCCTTCAGACTTCTTTTTGTTGCCAAAGCTCAAAGAACATTGAAAAGGAACACATTTTGAGTCCCTCAAGTGTGCCATAACTATCATTTTGACAGAGTATAAATTGAGGGTGCCCAGAAATTTGCAAGAAAGGGTTAGCGAGAAACATCACCTTCAGCAGTATATAAACCTAGATGGAGGATGTGTTGAGAAACAATAGCTTCACATTTTATTTTTGTTTAATAAAGACTCCTATGATTTTGTAGCAGTACTTTTTTTGCTTATGTTCATATATTTACTTTGGCTTCCTTAAGATTAAGGACTCATTTTATTTCTCTCTGTATAAACAATACCTAACTAAATATCTTGTAAAAATAAGTTGAGTTAAAAAATATATTTTGTCTTCTGTTCCAGCAAGGGAGTGAAAGCGCGATTTGTTGTGACTGATGGTGGGATTACCAGAGTGTATCCCAAAGAGTAAGTTCAAATAAGGTCTCAAACATAGTACATTCCAAAAGATATTCCCAAGGATCTGTACATTACTGTATAAAGATGCCATTCTTCAGAGACACTAATCATTATTAGTAGAGTGCAGTCATTGTTGAAAGTTCTTGCCTTATTAAAATACTCCATTTCTCTTCAGTATGATACTATAGGATTCTTCAGTTATATTTTTGCTTGTCATAGATATTTAATATAAAATGTAAGAGATTTTTACAATTGTTTTGCAGAGTAAACTAGTTAAATGAATGTAATGATTGTAGCCTATTACAATATTTATGTAGTGGCTTAATTGTTATCAGTGTTATTTGCACCATGTCTGTTTGTCTACAGAAGAGTTTTGTAAATTGAGCTTGGTAGGCATGAAAACCAAGTAATGCTTATTGACTGTTAGTTGATGTGCTCATGCTTATCTGGCTAGTAAATGGCATAGCTAAAATGAGGATTTTGTTTTCTCTGATCCTCAATGTAGTGAAATGTAAAGCTCTGATATATTGCTTAGTAATAAATATCAGTTCTGCCACCAATTACCACTAACTTTCTTCAACATCCATAAGATGTAAGCATCTCTATAAAGCTGAGTGATGTCCATAGAGAGAAAATTAGGTCATCAGGTAGATTAAAGAATACAAATGATGAACCATTTCCCCACTTAGAGCTGGAGAAAATTGGCAAGAGAACCCAGAGACATATGAGGACAGCTTCTATAAAAGAAGTCTGGATAATGATAACTATGTTTTCACTGCTCCCTACTTTAACAGTAAGTATTGCTTTAGAATTCCACGCTCTCATTTTTTTAAAAAAGTAAATGATCATTACTACATGCTTTCCCAGGAATAAAGATATTTAATGTTAACTAGATGAATAGTCATTATTGAGCAAATGATAAATGCAAGCCGTTGGAAAAGGAGAAAAGAATCCTCCACTTAGTTACATAAAATGCACACACAGGAAACATCATCCTATAATGTAAAGATAGTATATAATTAAATTTATGAGTAGCAGACATTAGTAATACAAAGAATCCTATGTAGATAACTCCTAATTTCATGAACTGAAAATATATTGAAGAATGATTAATGAATTAAGTCAAGTTGAGAAAATTGTTTAATTACCTTTTATCAATATAAATTATATAATATGGTATTTCTAAACAATAATAGAGTGCAGTGGTTCCGTAGGCTAAGAACTGGACTGCGAACTACAAGGTCAGTGGTTTGAGCTTACCAGCTGCTCCTCCAGAGAATGATGGCTTTCTGCTCCCACAAAAATTTACTGACTTGGCAGCCCTTAGTAACAACAAACATTAATAATATCTCATGTTTCAAAATATTTTATTGGATTATTTCCCCCAAGTATATAAGCCTCTAACTTCTCTGTTGGTAGTTTTAATTTATCCACATTTTCACAAATGAGAAAACTGGAGTTCAAAGAATTTCTGAGTTTTGTCCAAGGACATACATTCTCTAAGATGTATAAGAAACAAAGCCAGTTATGAATCTTTCTAATTCACCACAGATACTTCTCCAACATTTTAGGAAATGTCATAAATTTGGAATGCATCCATTATGCTGTGTAAAAAGTGCCCGTCGAGCTGAGTAAGTCCCAAAGTCAATTAATATAGACTCATTTAAGGACACTCTTACTGGCCTGGTGCATAGAGGAAGACAGAAGAATGAAGAAACCTAAATTCTCTTTAAAGTATATGTTGTTGATGTTGTTGTTAAGTGCTTGTGGATTCCAATGAGTGGCTGGTGGATTTGAACCACCAGCGTTGTGCTTATCCTACAGCACCTCACCAGGACTCCTAATAGTATATAAATACTAGCTTACATAAGTAAAACACTGTGACTTATCAATCCATGACTAGTAATGAAATTCAGTATTGTAAGTTGATTTATACTGATAAATTTGTTTTCCCTTTTTTTTTTTAAAGAAAGTGGACCTGGTGCCTATGAATCAGGCATTATGGTAAGCAAAGCTGTAGAAATATATATCCAGGGAAAACTTCTTAAACCTGCAGGTAAGCATGCTTATTATGTACACAAAGGGGGACAAATGAGTATGCCTACCCATGTGTGCCCCTCTGCAAACATACATTGTGTTCGAAACAAAATGTGATCTGACATTTACATTATAAACTGGCATCACTTATAAAGCAGGTCATCAGAAGAGCTCATCCTCGGTAAGATCAAAGGCATGTGATATTTTTTTAATGAAACACAGTTATGTATGAAAGTGTCCATGAAATCAGGTCAATAATATATATATGTAGTCTGAGAATTTTCAAGTAAGTGCACACTTTTATGCACTTTTGACTCTATTTTTGTAGTTAATTTTGGGTAGTATAAAAAATTTTTAAATGTAAAATTTTAATTGCTGAGTTGGTCCAGCCTGATTCTAATGATCTATATTATAAGATGCTTTTAAATACTATAGCCAAGGGTGAGCATATTTATAATAAGTTAAATATGAAAAGTTAAATTTCCATCAATAGGGAAAGATAATTTTGACATTGTAATACTATAGAATACCATTTGCCTTTGAAAAATAAGTAGGTGGATGTGATTATTAAGGTGATATGTTAACTTGACTGGTTCCTGCTTTTCAGTGGGTTAGCAGTTGTGATGTATCTTGGTAATGATATGATATGGTGGTTACATAATGATGTAATCATTCCTCATTTTGTGATCCAATACAACATAATCACCTCCATGATGAGCAGCAATCTAATGAAAAGGGAGTTTATTTAGGGGTGTGGCTTTCTTCGTGTATGCAAATAGATGTTCCGGAAAGCTCTGGTTTTGCTTTGAATCCTGCATCCAGCTCTGTCCTCCAGTTCTTGGGATTCTTGAACCACTACATCTGTGCGCCAGCCTGCCTTGTTACCTGCCTATCTTTTCATCTTGACATTTATCAGTCTTCATGCCCTCTGAGCTACAAATCTGCTATCTAACCTGCCTATCTTGGATTCATCTGTCTCCACAGCTTGGGAGCCATCAACTTGCTATCAAAAGGAGACAGCATGAGATGGCACTGGAGCCAACCCAAGGAGAAAGAGAACTGAGTGCCTTAGGGCAAGAAACTTCCTGGCCAAGTGGGGTGCCTCCTAGCACATGTCAATGGAGCTAGACTTGTTAACCCACATTGCAAGAGTGCTGAGCATCTTTGGGCTGAAGCTTACTGGCAGAGAGGGTTGTTTCCAGATACTAAACAGTAGAGCTAAAGAGCTTTGTAGCACTTGCTTGAGCAGAGCAGAGACTGGACTGGGCAAAGAGGCTGAGGGTTCTTGAGGCCAAGAAACTGGGAAGCAGAAGCTGAGACAAGTAACATTGGAAGCAGAACTGCCTCAGTCATAAAGGGTAGGACCGTTACCTCTGGGTTTTAAAAATGTGGACCACACCCTGTTAGGTTTCAAAGGGTTAAATCATCACCAACTCAGGTTAGGAATGTGGGACTGCTATTCATGAGTTTCAGAGGGATGTAGCCAGTTCTGAGGCCCAAAACTGAGGAAGAAGAGTTGCTGTGTCCAATGGAGCCTGCTACAGTCTTAACAACAACGAACAGCCACAGAGGTCACCATTCAGTTGGACTAGGAGAATGGTGCTGTCTACAGTTGGGGGAGCATGGTTGCCATCCCAACAGACCTGAAAGGCAGAGCTGAAACCCAAGACCAAGAGGCCTCTACCCAGAATTCAGGAAACATGGCCAACACCCAAAGTCTAGGACGATTGCAAACATAGTCTCATAGAACAGAGGATTATTATCAAGTCCCAAGAGCAAATATTAATTTTTCTCTAGGTTATTGATTTCCTTGGTTCCCTTTATTCCTTCTTTCACTCCAATTTTTCCCATTTATAATGGAAATGTCTACCTTGGGCTGGTTTCACCATTGTACTATGGAATCAGATAACTTGCGCTTTAGATAACTTGTATTCTGGACTTCATAGGTACAAATAGACAGAAATTTTGCCGCAGGATGGAATTTGTACTTGATGTTAATATAAGACTTTTGGAATGCTATAAAAGAGTGGAAGTGTTTTTGATGTGACAAGGAAATGAGTTGTAGGTGGGTAGATGGCTAAAGGGTGTAATATCATCAATTATTTCCCCATGCTGTATGTGTCAATTTGGCTAAGCTATAATTCCCAGTATTGTGTGATTTTCCTCCATTTTGTGATCTGATATAATTGTTCTATGTGTTGTAAGTCATAATCTCTGCATTATGAGGTTAATGAGGCATGATTAGTTTATGTTAAAGATGGTCATTTTATGCTTGTTATGTTAGTGAAGTAGGGCAAGTTGGGATGCAAAATCATTTCTCAGGTCCCAGTTCTGATCCAATGTGATGGAAGTAATTCCTGAATTCGGTCTATATTGCCTTTAATCTTACAAGAGATAAAAGGAGACAGAAGGAGAAAACTGACTACCACAAGAAAGAAGAGCCAAGAGCAGAGCATGTCCTTTGGACCCAAGTTACCTGTGCTGAGAATTTCCTATACCCAGGGGGAGACTGCTTCCGAGACACATACAGCTCTCCAAAGGGATATTAGGCCAACAGATGTTCAAAGGAAACAAGGATCTTCTTCCAGAACCAACAGAGAGAGCAACACTTCCCCTAGAACCAGCACTCTGAATTCAGACTTCCAGTCTGTAAACTGTGAGAGAATAAATTTCCACTTGTGGCATTTCTTTTTGTCACAGTACTAAATAATTAAGACAATAGTACTCTTACTTTAAGAGTTTATAATAAAATATATAGAAAATGTACTTCTATGGTAAAATAGAGCAAATTAAGAAAAGAATAACAATAAATTGCATCAGTGGGAATTGGAAGTGTGCTGGAGAATTGGCTACAGGGATCTAATTGTTATTTTCATCTTATGATTGGATATGAATTTTATGCATTTTACAAAGAGTGTATATTCGAGTCCAGCTACAGAAGTATAGCTTACCTTCCTGTTCTTGAGGGTACTTTTATCCCATCAGTGATTCCATTGCATACACACACGCACACGTAATATTGTGGTTTGGGTGAAAATTTACACAGGTTAGCTTCTCATTTAACCATTTCTATACATATTGTTCAGTGACATTGGTTACATTTTTCATAATTGGTCAACAATCTCATTATTTCTATTCTGGTTGTTCTGTTTACACTAATTTAATTTCCCTGCCTCCCCTAATCGTCACATCTTTGCTTTAGAATAACTGATGGCTGTTTGGTCTCATAGAGATAATTTTTATAATGAGCAAAATCTAAACCAAAATTGTCTGCTGTGAATCAGTTCTAACTCATAATAACACTATAGAACAGAGTAGAATTTCCCTGGGAGGTGGCATTGTTGGACTGGCACTGAACTGTTAACCACAGGATCGGCAGTTCAAATCCACCAGCAACCCTTTGGGAACCCTACATAGGGTTGCTGAGTTAGAACCAATTCAGTGGCACTTAACAGCAATAAGAACAGTCTTTAAGGAAGCAGGCTATCATATCAGTCTCCTGTGAAGTGACTGATGGATTCTAACCACCAAGCTTTTGGTTAGCAACTGAGCATTTAACTGTGTAAATATTACATATTTTATGAGTCAATCTGTTACTTAACTAAAAAGAGACCTCTGTAAGGAGTTTCAGTTTAAAGCTTAAATGGTATTTCAATGCAACAGTTATCAGGGTTCCTCTGGTCACAACTAATTCAGTATCTCCTCTCAACCAGTCCTGTAAGTTTTACCTTTTATAAAAAATTGGAGTTTTGTTGTACATTTATCTGTCATTCTATCTGGCATCACTGATTGTATCTCTTGTCAGAACTGTCAGTACTCGTAGCCAGGAACCATCTAGTTCTTCTTGTCACAGAGTTGATGAGGCCATGGTTTGTTTAGACTGTTAGTCCTATAATCTTGTTTTTGTTTGAGTCTTTGATTACCTTTTTTTCTGTTTTGCCCTGGATAAGTAGAGATCAATAATTGTGTGTTATATGGCAACTGGTGTAGCTCTGTGTGCTAATATTCTGAAATGCAAAGTTGTTTGAGCCACAAGGTCAGTGGTTCACGTTCACCAACTGATCCTTGGAAATACTATATAGGATCGCTATGGGTTGGAAATGACTCGACAGCACTTAACAACAGCAACAACAACATAGCAACTGACAAGCCTGTAAGATCCCAGATACTACTTACTAAACTAGGATGTAGAACAACCACTTTATCCTTCATTATTTTAACCACTCATTTACTCAATCATTCTCTTAGCTGTTCATTCATTCCCCCACTCTCATCCACTCACCTATTCATTGTCTCAACAAACATTTTTTAAATACTGATTTTCATGCATTAGTTGGTGGTGTTAGGCAAGCTTCTTAACAGTATTACTACTGGAATGACACATATTTAGTAAGCTATTCTTGACTTCATTTTCTTTATCTTACTATCTAGTTTAATTTAGGAAGTTGTGCCAAATAAGTAAGTATTTTTTAAAAATTATTTGAAGTTTATGTAATAGTTTAAGAGCTAATAGCATTACTTCTTACTGAAGATTTCAGAGAAATGTATTTCTGTGACAAGCACATTCATACATTTATATGCATTGATAAATTAATTTATCATATAGCAAAAAAAAGTATGGCAGTTACATTTTTTTAAATTAATTCAAATCAATATTTCAACACACTGTTGTAATTGAAGTTGTTGTTGTTATTAGGGGCCATCGAGTCAGCACAACAGAATGAAACACTGCCCAATCCTAAGTCAACCTCACAATCGTTGCTACGTTTGAACCCACTGATGCTGCCACTGTGCCAATCCATCTCGTTGGGGGTCTTCCTTTTCTTCTCCAACCCTCCACTTTGCCAAACATGATATCCTTCTCCAGGATTGGTCCCTCTTGATAATATGTTCCAAAGTATGGAAGACAAAGTCTAGCCATCCTGGTTTCTAAGGAGCACTTTGGTTGTACTTCTTCCAACACAGTTCTATTTGTTCTTTGGCGGTCCATGGTACTTTCAGTATTCACTATCCAACTTTCACATGATGTGAGGTTATTGAAAATCCCATGACTTGTGTCAGGTGCACCTTAGTACTCAAACTGATGTCTTTGCTCTTCAGCAATTTAAAGAGGTCTTATGCAGCAGATTTGCCCAATACAATACAGCATTTGATTTCTTGACTGTTGCTTCCGTGAGTGTTCATGATTGATTCAAGCAAAATGAAGTCATTGACAATTTCCATCTTTCTCCATTTATATGGATGTTATTTATTGGTCCAGTGGTGAGGTTTTTTGTTTTATTTACACTGAGGTGCAACCCATATTGAAGGCTATGGCCTTTGATCTTCATCAATAAGTGGTTATGTCGTCTTCACATTCAGCAAGCAAGTTTGTATCCTCTTCATATTGCAGGTTGTTAATGAGCCTTCCTTGACTTGCAGCATTGAAGGATTCTAAGGGCAAAATACTGAATGATGAAGAAAGCATCAAAAGAAGATGGAAACAATACACAGAGTCATTGTACCAAAAAGAAATAGTCGAAGTTCAACCATTTCAAGAGATAACATATGATCAAGAAAGAGTCAATGACCCTGAAGGAAGAAGTCCAGTATGCTTTGAAGTCATAGGCAAAGAACAAATCACCAGGAATTGATGGAATAAAAATGAAATCTTTTAAACAAAATGAGATGGGGTGGCACTGGAGGCACTCACTTGTCTATGCCATGAAATTTGGAAGACAGCTACCTGGCAAACTGACTGGAATAGATCTGTGTTTGTGCCCATTCCGATAGAGTAGACCCAAAACTCTGGTAGTGTAGTGGTTACAAATCGGGTTGAGAACTGCAAGGTCAGCAGTTCGAAATTACCAGTTGCTCTGCGGGAAAAAGATGAGGTTTTGCGCTTCCATAAAGATTTACAGCCTTGGAAACCCTGTTCAGGGTTGCTATGGGTCGGAACTGACTTGACGGCACTTAACAACAATGATGGAATGTAGAAATCATGGACAATATCATTGATATCCCATGCAAGTAAAGTTTTACTAAAAGTTAATACAGAAACAGCTGCAACTATACATTGGCAGAAAACTTCCAGAGGTTCAAGCCAGTTTCAGAAGAGGACGTTGAAAGAGGAATTTCATTGCTGACGTCAGATGGCTCTTGGATGAAAGCAGAGAATACCAGAGAGATGTTTACTTGTGCTTTATTGACTACTCAGACTTTTGATTGTGTGAATCATGACAAGCTGTGGACAACATTAGGAAGCATGAGTATTCCAGAACCCTTAATTGTGCTCATGAGGAACCTGTTCACAGGCCAAGAGGCATTTGTTCTAAAAGAACAAGGGAACATCAAATGGTTTAAAATTAGGACAGGTGTGTGCCAGGGTTGTATTCTTCACCACAGTTATTCAATCTGTATGCTGAACAAATAATCCGAGAAGCTGGATTATATGCAGAAAAACATGGCATCAGGATTGAAAGAAGACTATAATTGAAGAGATACTCATTATTCATGTATTACCATCTCAAGAAACTTAATTTGTCTACTTAGCATTTTTGAAATGTTAGAGGTGAGATCATTGATTCTGATATTATCTGTGTTAATTTTTCTTTGAATCATTTTTCAGTTGTTGGAATTAAAATTGATGTAAATTCCTGGATAGAGAATTTTACCAAAACTTCAATCAGAGATCCGGTAAGATATTTTTGTAACTCTTATGTTTCATACCTCAAAACCTGCATTTAAGGGAACAAAAACAAAACAGAAAAACACATAGTGGGAATAGTGAATTTTCAGTGCTACTATGTTGAGACAGAATTGTGAATTCCTTAATTTTTCAAAATTTTCTTTAAGTTGATCAGTTAATATTATTGCACATAAAAAGTAAAATCTTTCTGTGCTATAATTTGAAATACTAAACGATTAATATTTTCTAATGTTAAAGTTAAAGCTATTGTATTTTTTTTCTGGTGAAATGAGCTATCATTTATTCTTATTGGCATTGTAGATGCATTATCCACTTTTAATTATATAATGTAATTTGAATTCATTTTAAAATATGAAGTTATAATTGTATTTTTGTTTTTCAGTGTGCTGGCCCCGTTTGTGACTGCAAAAGAAATAGTGATGTAAGAAAACTAAATAGACTTCTTTGATTAAATTATTTTGATATGTTAGCCTGTTAAGGTATAATGATATATATATTTTTTTAATTAATGCAGTAATTTTTTTTTTTAATGCTAAAATACTCTTTGGAATTAGGAACTAATTCACATGTAGTATTTGAATCATGTTTGTAGTTCATAACCTTAATTATTTCTAGTTTTTAACATATTCATATATTATGGGAAACTTTAGAAAGGCGTATAAATATGAACTCGATGGCACTTAACAACAACAACATAAATGTGAACTATATTGTCCTCATTCTCAATTTGGGTAGATATTTGGTTGTGTGCTGTGGAGTTGGTTCCAAGTCACAGCGATTCTGTATAGGGTTTCCAAGGTTGTAAATCTTTATGGGAGAAGAAAGCTTCATCTTTCTCCCGTGGAACACCTGGTTTTGAGCTGCTGACCTTGAGGTTAGCAGCCCGACTCATAACCACTACGCTATTGGAGCTCCTTAATTTGGTTAGATATGTTTGTACATATTTATACTTAGTTTCTTTGTTATTTTATTTTACTTTTATGGGACGTTTCTGACCAAAGTGTCATTATTTTTCAGTGCATAATTTTGCTGTCCTCCCTCCTCCTTAACAGTCTTTAAATTTATTCACATTTATATTCATATTTTGAGGTAAATCCTAAAAGTTATCATCAGGTTTTACTTACGTCTTAGGTTTTCATAGACTTCTATTTATTCCAATTTTGTTTGAGAAACTGAAAAAGTGAATGTGAACTTTAGTATTCAAAAGTTGAAGATGCTCTAAAAATAATGAATTTTAGTATTCTAGTGTTTTTGAGTGTTTCATATACCTCCAGAACAACAAGGGGCTTGTATCATTCTTGCTCACTCCTTGTTGTTGTGAGTTGCTATCCAGTTGGCTCTGACTCAGTGACCATCTCACGCCTAGTCCCGTGAAATCCTAAATCAATCATTTTAGTTATTTCTATAGGCTTTTCCTTCCACGCTACATATACTAGGTGGTGACTATAGGAAGATTTGCAAGCTGCCTTTGCTTAAGAAAACTGAATGTTTATCTACCTAAATCTGAAAACCTCAATGCTTTTAACTATAATTTTAATTACAATAAGTCATTAAATTGATTCATAATTGATTACATGTGTAAACTATATGGGAATTTATCCTATATTTCAGGAAAAAATTAAAATTAAATGATTTTGTCCAGTTACGTGGATCAATTAGGTGATGTGGAGTGGCAGAAAGATTATTTCTGATTTGTTCAGACTGGTTTGACAGTCTTACTTGGATGAAAGCTGGTGGATTATCAAACTCTGATGGCTTCCTGAATGCTTGGATCACTGCCAGTCTTTCATTTATTTCATTACAATCTTCTCACTATATGCTGTAGAAGATACAGTGATTTGTATTTTTCCTACTATTTTTGTTGTTCTAATTCAAGTCCCGATGTGGCACTGTATGATAAACACTGAACTGCTAATCTCAAATTTGGTGGTTCAAGCCCACCAGCTTCCCCTCAGAAACCCTTTATAGGTTCTCTATGAGTCAAAATCAACTGTATGCCACTTAAAAACAACAACAACAACATCTGTATATAATGAAGGGATGATAATGTAACTTTCCAACTTTCCAAAAAAACATGATAATTGTTATTTGTATTTTGTTAGGTAATGGATTGTGTGATTTTAGATGATGGTGGATTTCTATTAATGGCAAATCATGATGATTATACTAACCAGGTATGTATCTGAAGTAGTGAAATAAAATTTCCAGAGTGTGTTTAGCTGATTAACATTTAAAGAAAAATCTTTCAAACAATTATAGATACTAATGAGTTGTTTTCTTTCTTTCATAAAATGAACTTTGAAAGCTTAATTCAATGTATACAGTTAATAGTATGCTAAATCTAGTTGTTATTTTAATGCTTGCTAGTTGATTTTACTTCCTGACGCTAACAGTTACCTTTAAAACACATAGCTAGGTATTTTAATATGATATAACCTTTTTCATTTTCTGATAGAAATTAACAATTTTTCTCATATTAAATATTTATCACATACTTAATGTATAACTGTTTTGAAACTGATGAAAGGTCTAATCCCAAATTTGCAAATCTGCAATGCATAAACTATTTGACTCACACAGGACTTTAAACAAATGCAAACTGTTGTTGTCCTTGTTGTTAGGTGTCTTCAAGTTGGCCCCTGACTGCATAGCAAGGTCACGCTGCTGTCATCCATGGGTTTTCATTGACTGATCTTTACAAGTAAAGCAAAGTCCATGTCCATGTTAGCTTGGAAGCTCCCCTTGAACCGTGTTCAGTGTCAAATTAGCATGATAGCCTGGCTATCCGTTTATATGGCTGTGCCTGAGGTGCATTAGCCAGCAATCAAACCTGGGTCTCCTTCATGGAAAATGAGAATTCTACCCCTGAGCCAGTTTGAAATATGAAATACTTGCCAACTAATCTCTAGTTCTGTCTTCTTGCTTAAAGGAAGAAAAGATTAGCAGTGGAGACTATTTTTCTGAATAGTAGGGTTTATGGTCAGGAGTGTATTAAAGGTTTCTCTTTTAGATGTGGTCAGGAGTGTATTCAATATAAAGGTTTCCCTTTTAGATGAGTCTCACTAAAGTTTATCACAATCTGCACATGTTTTGTTTTTTACTTCTCTTTCTAGTGCTACCTGTTTCTGTCATCTTTGTTACAGATGCCAGGAGGCATCTGAGTGTAAACTTAATGCTTAGTGACCTGTCTATTCCTTCCACAAACATCCTGCAGAGACAACATGTAATGAGGACAACTAATCTCACTCCACTTTCTCATATTGTCATACACAGTTTTATTACTTGTTTTTATTTTTAAGCTCCTAAGTAGTTTTAGTTCTTCATAGTATTTTATCTATTTATTTATTTTTCTGTTCGTTTTACTGGTTAAGTTTACGGTTTAGGTTAAGTTTGATTTTTTTTTTCTTCCTTGTATCAGATTGGAAGATTTTTTGGAGAGATTGATCCAAGCTTGATGAGACACCTTGTTAATATATCGGTATATGCTTTTAACAAATCTTACGATTATCAGTCGGTGTGTGAGCCTGGTGCTGCACCCAAACAAGGAGCAGGGCATCGCTCAGCATATGTGGTCAGTAATATCCACTCTCAAATCAACAACTCTTCTCAAAGGGACACTCCAAACGTAGTGACTTGTTTTTTTATTGTGTATTATAGCCATCAATAGCAGATATATTACACATTGGCTGGTGGGCTACTGCTGCTGCCTGGTAAGTTGAAATTCTAGTTGTATTGACTATAAGAGAAAGGTGGTATGAAATAGCAAAGAACTGGATGAAAAAAGAATTATGTGACCTATCAATTGTTATTTTGGACATAGTTTTGTATTAGTAAAGCACATAATGGCAATATTTATAAATATTTTTCTTAAATGATCATTGTAAAACTTTTATGTTATTATTAGGTGCCCTTGAGTTGATTTCAACTCATAGTGACCCCATGTGACAGATTAGAGCTATTCTATAGAGAGTCCTAGTGTAGTGCTGTGGGTTAATGCGCTGAACCGCAAAGTCATTTGAACCAGAACTGGTTCAAGCTCACCAGTTGCTCCTTGGAAACCCTATACAGGGTCGCTTTGGGTCGGAACTGACTCGGCGACACTCAACAACAACAACATAGGCTTTTCTAGGCTGTAATCTTTGTGGAAGCAGATGGTCAGATGTTTTCTCCTTCAAAGCCTCTGAGTGAGTTGGAATTGACAACCTTTCAGTTAGCAACTGTGCACTTATCCACTGAACAACAAGTACTCCTTAAAATTCATTATAGTTATTCCATTTTCCCTAAGACAACAGTGTTATGATCATGCAAACTTCAGCTTTTTCAGAGACTTCTTTTCATTTGGATCTGTAGAAACTTTTTTCAATTATATTTTTTAAAAATTTATATTATACTCAGCTTCATAGCTTTTAGGTGTATTGATCTATAAAAAGTTACTGGGCCTAGGGACTCAGTCCCTTAGTTTCAGGGACTGCAGGGTCAATTGTTTTTAGGTGTCATCTAGGCATTTCCAACTATGCACAATATACCCATGCACAATAGAAAGAAGACCGTGTGCCTAGTCCTACGCCATCCTCACAACTCTGTGTGAGCCTGTTAACACTGCTACTGAGTCAATCCTCTTCTTGTTGGGGGCCTTCTCTCTATCCTGGCTTCTAAAGAGCATTCAGCCTGTTTTTCTTCCAAGACAGATTTGTTTGTTCTTCTGATAGTCCATGGTACCTTGAATATTCTCCCCTAATACCATAATTCAAACGCATCAATTCTCTTAAGGTCTGTCTTATTCATTGTCCAACATTCACATGCATATGAGGTGACTGAAAATACTATGACTTGAGCAGTTCCTATTGTTGTTGTATGCCTTTGAGTCTTTGCTGACTCATAGATACCCCATATAAAATTTCCAAAATCAGCTGGTCAATTCAAACCACCATCTTTATGTGCAGCAGTTCAATGCTTATCCGACAGTGCCACACCAGGCTCCCCTTAGTTTTCAACTGATATCTTTGCTCTTGAACACTTTAAAAGAGGCCTTTTGCAGCAGATTTGCCTAATGCAATATATTGTTTGATTTCTTGACTGCTGCTACCATGAGTGTTGATTGTGGACCAAGCAAAATGAATTCTTTGACGACTTCAATCTTTTCTCTTTTTATCATAATGCTATTTTGTGGTCCTGGTGTGGCATTGCTGGTTAATGCTGGACTTCAAAGTCAATTTGAACTTCAAGGTCAGTTGTTCAAGTTCACCAGCCACTCCTCAGAAACCCTATACACGTTGCTATGGGTCAGAACCCACTCACTGGCACTAAACAACAACAATTTTATGGTCCAGTTTTAAGGATCTGTGTTTTTTTTTTACATTGAGGTTCAATTCAAACTGAAGGATGTAGTCTTTGATCTTCATCAGTCAGTATTTTAAGTTCTCTTCACTTCCAGCAAGTAAGGCTATGCCACCTCCATATGACAGGTTATTAATGAGTCTTCCTCCAATGCCACATTCTTCTTCATATAATCCAGCTTCTTGGATTATTTGCTCAGCATACAGATTGAATAAATATGGTGAAATGATGCAACCCTGGCACATACCTTTCCTATTTTAAAACTATTCATTACCCCCGTGTTCTGTTGTAACTACTACCTCTTGGTCTACAAACAGGTTCCACATGAGCACAATTTTGCATTTTGAATGTCCATCTTTGCAGTGTTAAAGTTTGTTATGATCCACACAGTCAAAAACCCTTGCATATTCAATAAAGCACAAGCAAACACCTTTCTGGTATTCTCTGTTTTTATCCAAAATCCATCTGATATCAGCAGTGCTGTCTCGACTTTCATGTCCTCTTCTGAATCCGGCTTGAATTTCTGGCAGCTCCCTGTAAATGTACTTCAACAACTGATTTTAAATTATATTCGGCAAAGTATTAATTGAATATCATATAAATGATATTGTTCAATGATTTCTGCATTCCATTGGGTCACCTTTCTTTGGAATGG